TAATAGGTAAATACTTTAATTAGTTTAATATATCATATAATATATTTAAAAAAATATATTTTTATTTAAAATAAAAAAAAATTTATAAATATAATTATTCATAAAAAATTAATTATATTTATATTATATTTTTAATAATTAAACTAAGTAAATATAAAAAAATATTAAATCAAATATATTCTAATCATTTTCGTTGAAGCATTGGTTTTTCAATGGATTCCTTCGGGCGAATCATGGCAAAAAAAAAAACCCCCCCGAACTTGACTATCAGTGGCAGATTAGCCCCTAAGCCAAATTCAGAAACATACCACCCCTTATACTCTTTCACAGTGACAAATAAGCCCTTGTTTGAAGGTTGACGTCATCGTTTCGTCAAATAACTAACGGTGCTCGTGTTTCACTCAACTGGCTGTTGAGTTAGAAATAACGTAGGTCCTATGTCATCAAACCTATTAATATTAAAACATTTTATGAAACAACAATTTAAAAGTAGGAATTTTAAGTGCTTCTATTCATGCAGAGCCAAAACTTTTTTCTTTTCTTTTCTTTTTTTATATCTGCCGCAAATAATTAAAGTATTTTACAAATTTTCATTAAAAAAATTACAACTTGTTTTTGGTATTTCTCTTTATTTGTGTGGATTGTGAGGAATAAATTAAATTTAAACTTAATTTTTTATCTTTATTCTTCATTTTGTGTCCAGAAGTTGTTCTTTATTTTTTATTATTATTTGTTTTTCATTATTTGTCATTCATGCTTAATTTTATTTTTTCAAATATAAAGTTATAGAGGAAAGGTGAATTTTATGTTGTATATGGGATTTAGAGTTTATCATTGATGATTCACTATTTGGTTGGTACCAAAATTATGTGTTCAATTTTTTTTCTTTGTATTACTTTGGCGCTAAGATTAGACTAATTATAAAAGGAGAAATCATGTATATTTAAGATAAATTAAGTTTTTTTTTTTGATGATTCTATTGTTCATATACCTAAGTAATAAATATATCTATACATTTTTTAATCTAATTTTTCTTAATAGTTCTACTGTTGTTATTATTTATTTTTTTTGCTGCCCAATGCCCATATTGATTAGTCATTCTAATAGGATTCTTTTTAGAATTAAATAAATAATAAATACTAAAAACTTTAAAAGTTGAATTTATTAATGAATAAGTATTTTTTTATACGCTAAATTTACAATTTAAGTCTTAATTCTAACACTTAAAAAATTAAAATTTTTAAATATATCAAATTAATTAAGGGTATTTAAAATTACTTGAAATAGGATTAGTATTTAAGTGTGTGGAAACTGCCAAAGAACATTCTAATAGTAATTAATAAAAAAGAAAATACTAAGGTGGTACATTTTGTAAATTTAGAATAATGTGTAATTTAATTTAGAAAGTATATTATACTTTTAC